TTTTCCCCCCCCCCCCCAATAAGACAAATCAGACGGAAATTCAAATCGGCAATAAATGATGCAGTTTGTGAAGAGGTCAAGAAATTACTAGTGAATGGTTTTATCAGATAATCGAAGTACCTTAAGAGGGTCACCAACGTAGTCATGGTGAAAAAGAAGAACGGTAAGTGGAGAATGTTCGTGAACTTCACCGAACTGAACAAAGCCTGTCCAAAGGACTCATTCCCGCTGTCTCACATCGACCAACTCATTGATGCTACAACTGGGCACAAACTGCTGAGTTTCTTGGATGCCTAATCGGGTTAGAATCAAATCCTCATGGAGGAGGAGGATAAGGAAAAAAACCACCTTCATCACCCACTAGGGGACGTACTGCTACAGAGTGATACCGTTCAGGTTAAAAAATGCGGGGGCAACGTACTAGAAGCCGATGACCAAAATTTTCAGAGAGCAACTCGGCAAAACCATGGAAGTATATATTGACGACATGTTGGTCAAGTCAAAAAGAAAGGAAGACCATATCGACCACTTAAGGGAGGCCTTCGACATACTCATAAAGTACGACATGAAATTAAACCCTGAGAAATGTGCTTTTGGCGTGACGTCCGGGAAATTCCTCGGCTTCTTGGTATCACAATGAGGTCGAACAAATCAAGGCCATAGAAGGAATCCCAGAAAATCTAACCAGCAAAAACAATTGCAAAAACTGACCGGATAAATATCCGCCTTATCAAGGTTTATCTCGCGGTCCTCCGATAGGTGCCACAAATTTTTTGGCGTACTTAAAAAGGACAATGGACTCCAATGGAATATCAAATGCATCAACACCTTGAAAGAACTGAAGGTCTACCTGTCGTCACCACCGTTGCTTGCTAAGGCAGAACTCGGAGAACTCCTCCTTATCTACTTGGTCGGGTCCGATGTCGCAGTAAGTGCAGTCATAGTATGAGAAAATAAAGGTACGCAATCTGCGATCTATTATATTAGCAAAACTCTGGTCGATACTAAAACGAGGTACCCCCACCTCGAGAAGGTAGCTCTAACCCTGGTCGTAGCTTCATAGAAGCTTAGACCTTATTTCTAGTGCCACCCCATCTCGGTGGTCACAACTTTTCCTTTAAGTAGTATCTTGCACAAACCCGAATTGTTAGGCAGATTCGCCGAGTAGTCCATGGAGCTGAGCGAGCACGATATAACCTATCAGTCTCGAATGACGATAAAGTCGCAAGTTCTTGCCGACTTTGTCGCCGACTTCAGTATGAAGATAACGTCTGAGGTTGAGAAGGAAAAAGCCATTACCTCTACCGGAGTATGCGACCTGTGGGTCCTGTACATGGATGGAGCTTCTAACGCATCTGGATCTAGACTGGGACTTGTGCTCGATGTCCTAACAGGCAAAATGGTTCGCCAATCCATACGATGCCCTGATATGACTAACAACGAGGCCGGGTATGAGGCCATAATTGTAGGGTTGAAACTAGCACTTAAATACGGAGTACAGCGAGTCATCGTTCGATGCGACTTGCAACTCGTCATCAATCAAGTCACAAGGACTTTCCAAATTAAGGAGCATCGGTTATAGAAATATCAGACCCAGATTTGTAAACTATTACCTGAGTTTGACGAATGCCAACTCGATCAAATACCTCGAACGCAGAACGTCGAAGAATATGACCTCGCCAAATTAGCTGCTGCCACCAAAAGCATAGTCGGAGAGGGGGACGTGGTCACTCTTCTCCATTCATTTCTAGACCACATCGAGGTACACTCTATAAACCTAACTTGGGACTAGCACAATCGTATTATCTCATACTTGCAGGACGGAGTGCTCCTACCAAATAAAAAAGAAGCCAAGAAGCTTCGAATGCAAGAAACTAGGTACAACATCGCCGATAATGACTTGTACAAAAGAACATTTGGCAGCCCCCCCTAGCAAAGTGCTTAGGGACAAATCAAACATGGCGGATCCTCGAAGAAGTACACGAGGGCCACTGCAGAGCTCACACCGGCAACCGATCTCTCATCAGATGCCTCATACGGGCGGGCTACTATTGGCCCACGATAAAGAAAGAAGTCGCCGATTTTGTCAAAAGGTGCGAGCAATGCCAAAGATATGCCCCCATGATTCACCAAGCGGGCGAGCACCTTCATTCAGTCACTTCGCCATGGCCTTTCATCAATTGGGGAATGTACATCGTCAGACCCCTCCCAACGGGATGAGTTAATGTACGATTCCTTTTAGTTTTAACTGACTATTTCTCCAAATGGGTAGAAGCAGGTGCATTCACCCAAATATACGAAGAAGTAATCACGTTCATATAGAGAAATATCATATGCCATTTCGTCATCCCCAAAGAAATCATTTGTGACAACAGTCCCCAGTTCACTGGAAAAAAGACCGCCGAGTTCTTCGAAAAATGGCACATAAAAAGAATACTCTCCACACCATATCACCCCGCAATCAACAGTTAGGCAGAATCCTCCAACAAAACAATATTCAATATCATGAAAAAGAAACTCGAAAATGCCAAGGGACTATGGCCGGAAGTGCTACCAGAAGTGTTATGGGCATATCGCAACTCGAAAAAAATGAGCACATAAGAAACACCATACTCACTTGTATATGGGACTAATGCAATGATACCGGTCGAGGTTGGGGAGCCCAGCTTGAGATAGTCACATGAAAGCGGGCAAAGCAACGATGAGAACAAAAAGCAAAACCTCGATGAAGCCGAAGAGTGAAGAGACATGGCTTACATAATAATGATGGCTCAAAAACAACAAGCAGAGCGGTACTACAACAAAAAGTCCATAATCGGGCCACTCAAAGTCAGGGATTACGTACTCAAAGCCAAAACATAAGCAAGCAAAGACCCATGAGAAGGCAAACTAAGAACCAATTGGGATAGCTTATATAAAATCACGGCAGTAGCAAGCTAAGGGTCATTCCAATTGGAAACAATGGAAGGAAAATTACCAAACAATTGGAACGTCGCCCACCTCAAATATTTCAACTTCTAAGGATAGACGTCTCCCGAATCGTACTCTTTTTTTCCTTACCTGAGTTTTGTCCCGATTGGGTTTTCTCGGGGAGGAGACAAAGAGAGCATCTCAGAGTTTTTAGTATAAGTTCATTGCTCGACCTATATACTACTTTTCCAGGTCTACCAATGAAGGGACTAGATGGACTAGGACTTCAGGAGAACATGCAAACTTCAACGTATGTAAACTTCTCCAATGTATGTAAACTTCTCCAATGGATGTATAAACAAAGAGTAATATGCACGCATGAATTTATCTCCACCAAGTTCAGATATTACGCCAAGTCAAAACATTCTCCCTCATTCGAATCATTTAAAGAGTCAGACATTCGACCTCGTTCCGAATAGACTCACATTCTACCTCGCTTGAATTTATTTACATTCGACCTCGTTCGAATCATTTAAAGAGTTAGACATTTGAGCTCGTTCGAATAGACTCACATTCGACCTTACTCAAATTTATTTACATTCAACCTCGTTCGAATCGTTTCAAGAGTCAGACATTCGACCTTGTTCGAATAGACTCACATTTGACCTTGCTCGAATTTATTACATTCGACCTTGTTCAAATCATTTAAAGAGTCAGACATTCGACCTCGTTCGAATAGACACACAGCCAACCTTGCCCGAATTTATTTACATTCGACCTTGTTTGAATCATTTAAAGAGTCAGACATTCGACCTCATTCGAATAGACTCACATTCGACCTTGCTCGAATTTATTTACATTCGACCTCATTTGAATCGTTTAAAGAGTCAGACATTCGACCTCGTTCGAATAGACTCACATTCGACCTCGCTTGAATTTATTTACATTAAACCTCATTTCGAATCGTTTAAAGAGTCAGACATTCGACCTCGTTCAAATAGACTCATATTCAACCTCACTTGAATTTATTAAGATTCGACCTCGCTCGAATTTATCTACATTCGACCTCGCTCAAATTGTTTAAAAAGTCAGACATTTGACCTCATTCGAATAGACTCACATTTGACCTCACTCGAATTTATCTACATTTAACCTCATTCGAATCATTTAAAGAGTCAGACATTCGACCCCGTTCGAATAAACTCACAGTCGACCTCGCTCAAAATAATCGACATTTGACCTCGATCACATCAACTAAGTTGAGAACTCTTACAAAGGGAAAAACATATGAAGAAAAACGAAAAGAACTAAAACATACAGCAAAAAGACAATAGTCATTCCATTCCAAAATAGAGTATCTTACAAAGGGCCAAAAAGACACCCCTCCAAAAAAAGAGAAGAGAAAAAGAGAAAATAGCAAAAACAAAAGAAAACTAAGTATAGGAAAATCACACTGCATCATCTCCGCCTGCGCCATTGTAGCCTTCGCCACCCGTCCCAGTACCACCTTTGTTCGTGCCATTAGCGTACTCATCATCGTACCAAGGATCGAATTCACCATCGAAGTCCTCTTCATCATCGCTATTCCTCAGCTTGGCGGGGTCATAACCATAGGCAAGCCTGACATCAAGCACCTTAGCATGAGCATCTTTGAAGTCAGCATCAGGAACCTTTTCACTGCTATCAAGCTCCTAT